CTCAGAAATTGAAATGGAAAACTATTACTAATTTCTAAGAAAAAGAAAAAGCGGATTCAACCGTGTGGCCCACCTATGCGTGAGACGGCCCGCGACGGGGGAAGCCCGCGCGCGATGGTGCTTTTGCAAAAGAGACCTCGAGCTTATCCCGAATTACACCTAAACCCATAACACTATTCCTATGTCTCTCTGACGAATTCATTTAACCCCCTGAGTTTTTCCTAATTCACCCGCACACACCCTCGACAACTCTATGCACGGTGGTGCGGTGAGCGGCGACACTGGGTGACTACGCCGACCACCTAGGACCTGCGCGAGCCTATCTAACGGGTCGATCGCCATCTTCGACATAGACAACTACGCTAAGCGGCGGTGAGGGGTGGCGGGGCTCACTAAGGAAGGCTGTAAAGCTAGCGGTGCACTTGGATTGGGTCGGGATGGATAGATGGAGGACTACCCACGGCAATGGTCGAGCTCGGCCTTATCGGCATGGTGGCGGGGAAAAACTCCAAATTGGAGCTTGGTCGTGCTCGCTTCAAGGCTGCGTGGGTCGGGGGTCAGGTGGCTTAATGGAGAAGCCAGGAACGAGTCAAATTGAGTTTAGGTGATCTAACCATGCTGAATTGGGCGAGCGGGGTCGGTCAGCCGCGGTGGCAGAGAGAGAGGTAGTCAACGCTCGGCTCATCCTCGCCTTGGCGGGACGCGAGCGGCGTCGATCAGGACGCACACACGCAGGCGCTACGGACAAGGCGTGCGCACATCCACAACCGACACGGTACGAGCGACTGCCGCGCCTTTATGGGCGAGACGACAGTAGGTACGGCCATGTGCCGATGCCACGGATACGCCAAGTGCGCGTAGAGCCGTAGGGGGTGCGGATGCGACGACGAGGCGACGGCAGCGCAGCGCGATCATGGCGACACCAATGGCGGCAGCGCAAGGCAGGGCAGCAGGGCGCAGGGCCAGCGGCTCACTGCGGCCGGCCTCGGCCAAGCCTAGGCGGGCTCGACCGACCCAACGTGGCGGCACGGAGTGGCCACGCGGGACGCAGCCATGTGCGCGGCACGGGGTGGCCGCGCGCACGGCGCCAAACATCCTGAGGTTGTGTCGTGCACGAATTTTAAAGCGTTGATACAAACTAAACTAATGAAGTTGGAGCAAACTAAAGAGGGTACATCAAACTACCATAAGGAACAAAAACATAGCACTAACCTTTAGCTAAATTTTCCGAAATTAATTCACCAACATGGCATTGTCACACTGTTTTCAAACTTAAAATTCTTCCAAGTCTTGAGCTGAATTTGATTTCAAGTTCCATTTCTAAGTCATTAGAAATACTAGCTAATCATATTATTTTTCTACAGCAAAAGTTGCATTGTCATCTACAAAGTTTGTACTTCAAACTTTATTTAAGTATCACACACATGTTGTATAGTATTTTTGCTTAATAAAAATTGATTTTCAACCCTACTTGATATACATGAGCTATTGAATCAACTTTCATTTAACATTTTTATTGGTCATTTTAAGTTACAAGAAATTTATCTACATATTTTATCACATGCATTATCATATAAACATGATGCTCATGACAGGGATTAGTGGTTTGTTTAGGGTGTAACACCAAGGGTGTTACATCAAGAACCCCTCACAATTACCACGATCGGAGCTGTAGACAAGCACCACCCTCCACTCAACAATCCTCGCTACTCCAAGCCATCTAGGTGTCGGCAAACACCAAGTGTAACAAGCGAAATCCACAGCGAAACACAATCACCAAGTGCCTCTAGATGCAATCACTTAAATCAATACACTTGGATGCTCTCCAAACTCATCAAATGAGGAATCAATCAAGCAAGATGAGTTAGAGAGAAATGGTTAGGCTCACTAGAGTGTATTCTCAATAGAAAAGGCCAAGAGAGTGAGCCCAAGCCGGCCAACCACCTTTTATAGCCCCCCAAACAAAATAGAGTCGTTAGGCACAAAATGGGGCTCCCTGCGCAACGACCGGACTCGTTGCTGCAGTGATCGGACGTGTTCGGTGCATTGTTGCAATAGCGTGCGATGCAAGTTGCAGCAGCGTCCAATGGAAGTTGCAGTAGCGTCCAGTCACATAGGATGCGTCCGGTCGTTGAGTCCGGTCACGCTGCGCACGCCATGAGTAGTGACCGTTTGAATGTTACCGTTGGGCACCAACGGCTCCCAAACGTGAGCAAACAAACTCTGTGTCCGATCGATCGACCGGACTCGCCATCACCCAGCGTCCGATGGCGAACAGAGAGGTTCCAGAGAGGTATTTTGGCGACCGGATGCATCCAGTCACCACTAACTGGACTCGCCCAGCGTCCGGTCACCCAACCAAGTGCGTTGCCTTTCTATGAACAGTTGTGTAGGCGCGTTTGGTCGCAAGTTGCATTAGCGTCCGGTCACTGTTTCACTATGCACCTGATCTGAGTTGGTGACCGGACTCACCACTGCCGGGTCCGGTCCTCCCGAGACCAGGGTCCGGTCACCCCAAAATAGCTCCTCCTCTTCTCAAACTTCACCACCCTTGCTTCCATGTGCTAATCACCAAGTGTATCACCATTGTGCACGTGTGTTAGCATTTTTCGAAAGCATTTTCAAGGGTGTTAGCACTCACTAGAATCTAAATGCATATGCAATGAATTAGAACATCTAGTGGCACTTTGATAACCGTATTTCACGACGAGTTTCACCCATCTTAATAGTATGTCTATCTATCCTAAATCCACTCACATCCACTTGGTGTCTTCAATGGCAAAACAAAATGCTCCTACCAAATATACCTTTGCCTTGAGCCATTTTGTTTTTCTCTTTCTTCTTTTCCAAGTTTGGAGCTTGATCATCATCAACACATGTCCATCATCACCTCCATGGACTTCATCTTACTCCACCACTTGGTGTATACTAACCTATCTCATATACACTTAGAGCCAAATGTTAGTGCCTAGGGTTCCATCAATTGTCTAAAACTAAACTAGGGCTTTCAGAAGGGAAGGGGAGGTGAGGGAACGATGTCATAGTTTGACCGTTCTATCAGAAAAAATCAGATGGATTTATCAAATTTTACCTCGCTTTTTAACTGAACTGGCCACAAGAGACGCGCACAAGAAATACCATGGATTTGATGTACCTAGATTTCTCCTTTAAAGCTCTGGTTGCATCCCAAACACCTCGGAACTCAATGTTCTTATTTCTCAATACTGTGGCAGAAACTACTGCTCAAAACTAAAAAAAAGATTACATTCAAATACGGACTTGCCAGCGCCCAGACGTCCGATCCGGGCGCTAGCGTCCGGACGCTGCCTGCACAGGGACGGAGCGAGCTCCTAGCGTGTCGGGTTCGTGAGCGAGAGCTTTAGTAGTGGGCCCACGTCGCTCGCGGATATCGCCTGCGCCGCCCCGGACGCCGCCACGCTGCCCGGAACGTCGTCCGCGCCGCCAGTCGCTTCCCACACGCATCCCATGTGCAACACCCAATCTATTTTTGAAAAATCCAGATGCAGTAGTTGCAACATACAAAAACGACAAATCAAACACTTGAAACAAGCATCTAAAACACTAGCGAAAATGCCCGAGAAACATTTGAAAACCATTACAAACATATGTGAGAGACATTTGAAAACCATTGCAAACATATGTAAAATCCAGATGAAACAGTTACAAACATACGTATGAAACACTTGAAAACAATTGAAGCATATGATTGCAACATCCAGATAAAAAACGATTACAATATATGTCTGAAAACAGAGGAAATATTTAAACAAACCTTTGCAACATGCATCTGAAACACTTGCAACATATGCAACATGTGCAGCATCCCCCGATCTACTTTTGCAACATCAAAATGGAAAAATTGCAACGTACATCTAAAACGTCAGAAACAATTGAAACATACATATGCAACATAGGGGAGGGGAAAGCCGGGGCCGGTCGATTCTAGCTGCCAGGGTCGGAGCCGGCAGCGAGTGGCGACGCGTGAGCACCACCGCCACCGGGCTTGGCTCGGGCAGGCGGGCGCACCAGCACCAGCGCGCAGCGCACGCGCACCACCGCCACCAGCGTCGGTCTTGGCTTGGCCGGGTGGGCGACGCGCGCGACGAGCAAAGCCAACACCACCAACACCAGCGCACGCGACGGGAGGGGGAGAGAAGTGCTCGCGACGGGGGAGAGCAAGCGGCACTGGATGGGGCGCGCGGCAGCATCGAGGCGGAGTGGCATCCGCGTTTGGGGCAGGACGAACGGAGTTGCAGCCGCAAGGTGCTATGGTGGAGGGAGGGAGCAGAAGGGATAAGAATTAATAAACTCATGGGCAGGAGCGAGCAGCGGCTAAGTGAGCGTGAGCAAGTGGATGAGCGGTAGTTAGGTTGCTTCGCGGCCCACCATCGGCACGATCCGGGCGGATGGACGCCCTATACCTAGCATTACCGATTCAAATAGGCTCCTAGCGCATAAAAATTACATGAATTTGTATGTTATTTCATGCTATATTGGCCTCATTGTAGCTATAAATAATATATTCTGTGGTAATATAGCCCAATTTCTTTTTTAAATATATAATCAAATATGTATCGTTGTATTCTTGAATGGAGTGAGAAAATAGTATTGTAGGACCACTAAAGAAATTTTAGTGGCAGAATTAGTAAGGAATCTTTGATTTGCGTAATTGAAAATAGACCTTTTTTTCTTTTACTAATTACCCAACCGAAAGCTAGATCTTAACAGTATAAATTGAGAGGCAAAATGCACTTTTTTATTAGATGTACTTGCATAAACAAACTTACAAAAGGAAGGAGCGTTCAAGATACTACAATGCAACAAACACGAGCAAAAAAAGAAAAGATATACACAATCATCTCTCAACAATGCAAAAGCAACGCCCATTGTAAGCTTTATCCGGCTACCAAGTTCCGAACATGAAGAAAAAAAGTGAAGAACAGTAACTAATGGTAGGCCATTTCTACTAAGGGAACAGGCTACTTGAGCCTCATTGGCTGCTGCATCCCTCCTCTCATCATTGCACAAAACTCGTCATAGTTAATCCTACCATCCTGTGGCAGGCAAATGACCAAAATCAAGAAGATGAAAAGAATAAACAAAACACAGCTGAAAAGATAATGGCACAAATAGCTTACATTGTCTGTGTCAACTTCTGATATGATCTCCTTTATTGTACTCGTGTCGCCCATCTCATGCTCGATCAAAGCAGATTCCAGTTCATCTCTTGTGATGAAGCTGCATAAAATCAATGTAATCTCCATGTTAAACAAAACAGTTTCTGCTTTTGAGAAAACAAAAACAGTTTATGCATGAGACATACTTTGGAAGAAAGTTAGTGCCAATAAATGTGAACCTAGATACTTTTACATGCAAAAAGGAGGTCATTCCCAGGGGAGTTTTTTTTTACATAATCGATGGTGTAGACATGTTTCGATGGGATAAAAAGTATGGCGTGTTATGTTAGCGTTTGAGATATCAATTTGAAGTACTCACCCACTGTTATCTTTATCGAAGTACTGGAATGCCTTAAACAGATGTTCATCTCTTTCAAGCTTGTGTCTATGCATTGTGGCAGTGATGAACTCAACATAGTCAATGGATCCATTCCCATCAACATCAGCCTGGTGAATAGGTCAAAAGGTAAGCATGCCAGCCAAGAACATGATTCTAATAATGGTATTGTAATATAGATTATAAATTAGAACATACAGCCTCCATCAACTGCTTTACTTCAGCTTCTGACAGTTTTGATCCAAGTTTGGCTAATCCTGCTTTGAGTTCTTCATATGTGATTGTGCCACTATTGTCTGTGTCCATGTTCATGAACATTTGCTTTAGCCCCTTGATCTCTTCCTCGTTAAGGTTTGAAGCAATAACCTGCACATACATTTGCTAAAATCATTAGACAAAGAAAAACTAGCCAAGTAAGCATTAACATGAAGACAATAACCTTTAGGGCCATCTTTTTCAGCTTATTCATTGCTCTGAACTGCTTCATTCTAGAGAGAACAGCACTGTCAATAGGCTTATCAGATGCGTCCCCACCTTCTCTGAGCCATGGATGTTCTGATCGAGTATTTAATACACATATTATTATTATTTTTTAAATTCTAAAGTTTGGAATTATTAATTCCTGAGAAGCTTACGAAGAACTTGAGCTGAAGTCAGTCTTTTCTTTGGATCTCGTGTCAACATCTTTCTAACCAAGTCTTTAGCACTCTCAGAAATTGATGGCCAAGGTTGACTTTCAAAGTCAATCTCCTCATGCAGAATAGCATCAAATATCCCCTTTTCAGTTTCTACACAGCAAAAACAAACGATAAACAATAATAAAAAAGGACGATGTTGCTGCTCAATAGTATTCATTAATTCAAAAGTTGAAGTGGTTCTTAGAGGCCAATATACCAGCCCAAAATGGAGGCACGCCACTGAGAAGAATGTACAGAATAACGCCTGCACTCCAAACATCTATCTCTTTTCCATAGCTGCGCCTAAGGACTTCAGGAGCAACATAATAAGCACTTCCAACAATGTCCCTGTACATCTTTCCTGTTATGCAGTACAGAGATAATGAGACCCCAAATCTCAAAAATTAGGATCTAATCTAATGGTATTAATCACCAAAAAGTTACTACAGTTTCTGACAGCAAGTTCTCTTTGATTGGGAATCATAGAGAGAGAAAAAACCAAATACTGGGGATGGCTGATGAAAATGTACGAGGAAAAAAACAGAAGAATGGTTTGCCTCCCCACGATAAGCAATTGTCATATATTCTGCAATTGATATTACCATCCACAACAATATTAATATATATCTCAGATATAAGAATCGACACTAAGAGGGCAATAGAATCATATAGCATTTCATATCATATCTTAATGTGATTGCGACCGGGCTTCAAACCAGTCAAACATAAAAAAGCCATTGAGCTATCAATACTTGTGGTTTCCCACTACTAACTGACATAGAAACAGCTGCTAATAATTAGCTCCTTTGGATCCAAACAGGTCCAGCTAGTAGTCTAGTCAATTGTTAGCTGAATACCCAACTATTAACTATCTCACTAGTTTGGCCAAACCAGCTAATAGTTAGCTAGCTAATATTAGCTATGAGATATTATTAGCTAGCTAACTATTAGCAGCTAATGGATCCAAACAGGTCCTAACTGACATAGAAACAGCTGTGCAGTTTTCAGTGCTTTCCCCTCAAAGTAAACATGGCAAAGATCACCAGTTTTTGGCTGGTTCTCTATGAAGATAGGCAGGAACAAAAGATTTTCAAGTTACTAAAAGTATTATGGCATGTTATACAGTATACACTTTGCAGGGACAAAAAAATTGTCTGAACATGTCCAAAATGCCGTGAATTATCCACAGGTTCGAGGTTCCCCAATTGCTTGGATTAAGAAGCACCATACGTTCCCATGACCCAAAATGAGATTATATATGAAATACTAGCCTTAGCAGGATCGTTCCGAAATATGATAAAAGATAAATTGAAAATTTATAACCAACCATGAACCTCAACAGATGAAGTTAAGAGATATATGTCTAACTGCTACTATATTCAGCTAACAATGCAATGCCAAGTGTCCACAGAGCATAATATTCACATTACCTTCTTCAATGAAGACGGAAAGCCCAAAATCAGTGGCCTTGAGCATTGCATTCTCCTCCTTGGTCGCAAGCAAGAAGTTCTCAGGTTTCAGATCACGATGCATCACACCCATGAAGTGGCAAATGTTGACAACATTCACAACTGCTCTGCAGATTGTAGCGGCTGCACGTTCTGTGTAGTGCCCCTTGGCAATGATGCGATCGAAGAGCTCCCCACCTGCGCAGAGCTCCATCACCACATGGACATTGCTCTTGTCCTCATATACTCCCCGGAACTCAACAATGTTTGGCTGCCCAGACAGGTGCTGCATGATCTGGATCTCCCTTCGAATGTCCTCCCTGTCTGCCTTGCTCGTGAGCTTGCGCTTGGAGATGGACTTGCAGGCGTACTGCCTACCAGAGGCAATCTCTGTGCAGAGGTATGTCACCCCGAACTGGCCCCGGCCAAGCTCCTTCCCGAGGGAGTAGACAGAGCGCACGTCCTCGTACTGCTTGCCAAGAATCGTGTCTGCCGTGGGCTTCGGTGGCGCAGCCACAGGTGGGACTACCGGAGCGTTCATCGCCGGCGGCGTGTACCTCACCTCAGCCGCCTGCTGAGGAGGGTTGTAACTCGGAGGTGCTTGCGCTGGCTTTGCCTGGTTGGAATAGCCATAACCATTGGTGCCTCCCCGTCCAGAGTCCGGGGCCGTAGCTCTGCTGCAACACTGCCCCATTTCTCTAGTCAAATTATTCCTTCCAGCTCTAAGCCTGCAACCCAACTGATGGGTCGATGAGACAAATCAAGAACAAGAACTGAACCTGCAGGGAAATCCCAAGGAGTAGAACACTTGTGTTAAGACAAAGCAAGGAACGTTTATATTGGAATTCACAAGCTCATGATTCAAGATAAGGTATCCAAAACTAGATCTGCAAGCAAAACCCAAACAACAGGACGAAAGAAACAACTCTAATCCCCAAACAAGAGTCACATCATAACATGCCTCTGGATCCAGGAAGGAAGAGACGCTGTATAGTGAAAGAAGAAAAAGTTTCCAACCTCAGAACCCGCAAAGCAACCGCCTCTCTACCGATCTAGAGCTGAAGAACTCGAGTTTCCTTTTCAGCAAGAAGGGCTGCGGAGTCTCAGGAATCGGGTGCGAAACAAATCTTGGAGAGAGGACAGAGCAAGAACAGCTCGGCGAGGCAACCGCAGGGAGTGGATTGGAGGTGGTGGCCACCGCAATTGGCGCCCCGCCTCGATCGTGACAACGACTAATCCACACGGGGTCCGGAGCTAAAGATCTCGCGGGCCGAATTTTCTGAAAGAAAAAAGGTTGACAGGGGGGAAGAAACGGCGACGGCGCGTTTTTGAGAAAAAGCCTCAAGCTTTGCTTTGCTGTCAGCTCGTTTTAGTTGCATTGCTTTACCGGAAGATAAGGCAAATGGAATGGCAGTTTTGCGAAAGAAACCTCTTGTTTTTCTGTATTAATTAGGGATCTGTCTGATTAACAATTACAAATTTTAAACAGTTTAAACAGGCGATTGCCTTAAAAGGTTCTGATGTGCAGCACTTGTTTTCAAGGGAAAATATATTCATTTTGTTTTCCCTTCAAATTACTTCATTGAGCAAAACATACATGGAGCACACGGGCATGCACATAAACTCACCTATATGAGCACATCCAAAATACCGAGCTGACAAATCTCAGGACCGAGGAAATGACCACATACACTTCATTATTTTGAGCATGTCATCTATTACTAAAAGATTGGTGCTATTAAATCCTAAGATAAATCTAAAAAGCATGGATACCTACGTCAAATTCAGAACTTAAAGGGATTCTACTCTATAGGGATTAGGGAACCTAATGAATTGACCTTCAATAATTTCTCGTTTTGTTGATCGCTTCCTTCCGGGGAACCAATGATGGCTAGATTACTACTTGGGACATTTCACAATAGGGATGGAGCTATACTCACTGCACTGGGTGCTGCACCCACGCAAAAATAAAAAACAATAATCACAGCTAAATTTTCATCATATTACACCCCATGTCATAAACCTTACACCCATAAGATAAGGCCCCATTTTCCTCGAGTCGAAAAAAATAAGATAAGGCCCCATTTTGGATGCTCTATGGATCATAAGAATTCAGATAGTAGATACCTATTCGTCTCAAAATATATAAATGGCATTTTAGTCCTAGAATACTTGACATACACATTTTGTAATGCACTTTTCTCTTTTGCCAATATACTTTTCTCTTTTTCCAACACACTTTTCTCTTTTTCCGATACATCTTTATCTCTAATCCTTGAGGGAGACTTTGGACTTTTGACTTCAACATTGGTTGCCATGAGAGATTCTAAAGCGTCATCTAATATAGGATGGAGGAAGTAATGATTTTGAGAATCTAGATTTTGGATAGAATGTTTGGATTCCTAAATTGTACTCTAGATATTGGATGCATTGTATATGCTAAATTACTAAAATACGCTTCAAAGGTTGAAATGAGGACAAAATTGTCTTTTCCCACCCTATAATTCCCAAGATGCTGATAGAGAACGAATATTGGATTGTAGTCTTGGATTTCTCAAACACATACCAGAATCCCCTAGAAGCCTTTTCGTTTGGATCAAATTCTGGTTTTTTGGTCGCACTGTAAAATCTATGCGGATCTAAACAACCACTAATAAGTACACGTACACCTCTTTGGATTTGCTGTAGCTTGTTTCACCGTCGTCGGCCCCTGTTTCACCGTCATTGTCAACATTTTCACTTTCAGGCGTTAACCTTTGAGTTTGAAGTTGAATGAAACCTCGAGTAAGAAATGGAATTAAATATACAATAAGTAGATGGTCTTTTTATGCTGGCTGTACGTAGTATAAGGGCAGTCCCAATAGTGTATTGATGATGGTTTTTATCCTCATTAAATGACTTGCCACGTAGACAAAATGCTGACATGGCAACGTAATTAATGAAGAAAGAGAGCAAAAATTATAGAAATGGTTTCCTCATGAAGAAATCAGGTCTACTCTTGACCCAATACACCAATAAACCATGAAATCACCATTGGGGAGAAACCATCGCTTTAGTAGCTCGCACTCCTCCATTGGAGAAAGAAGATTAATTATTTCATAAAAATTATGGGTTGTAAAAAGATTTTTTTAGGACGATGATCATATGCTACTAGTTTTTTTCATTGAGACTGTGCTAACATTCTCCTCGCGTTTTTTTTTTCTATGCGCTTTCAGAACCTAACTGTCGTAGTACCGTGCGTAAACTATACTCTGACAGCTGTTGGATTAAGGATAAGTAATTAATTACGTGGGCATCTTGTTTACGATTAGTTATACGTGACTGTAAGCTTTGATAATTTAAATTAACGACTGTGTTAGCTGACTAGGTGCGATCGAGGATGTCTTAGTGCTCTCTCGTTTCTATACCTATTAATTTCTAGAATAGATAATTTCTACAGAACTAATTTTTATCCAATCACATGTATTCTCTCTTTATTCTTTATCAATCATATTCTTTTATATTTTGGTTTCGTGTAGACATGGTTTCTAACTAGTTTAGATCTAGTTTCTATGATTTTTGCTCTCTCTCTTCAATAACTACATTGCCACATTAGCAAAAACCCTTAGGTAATAGTACAATTAATGTTCATAGAAACTATGGTGATTTCTATATTGAGAGTGCCCTTAGCGGAGCCCAAGCAGTTTTTATTATACAAAAATATTTAACTAGAAAATTACATAATTCTACTATAATATAAAGAAAATGTCCTTTTAAACGTCGACGACCAGCCCAGTGGCCGGGCGGTGGCTCCGCCACTATTCACGCAGAGGCAGAGATTCGTGATGGCCAATGTTATTGCTTGCTGGCACGAGGCAGACGTGCAAAGCAGCAGGAAATCCTCTCTCTTTTTTAATGACGAAGATCATGCATGTTTCTCTTTTCTTTTTCCTTTTTGAAAATATGTGTCATGTTCACTTGGCTTATAAGCCATTTTTTTCAACCAACAAACAATATTTTTCTCTTATAATAAATCAACCAACAGTACTTTCAGTCATAGCTTATCAGCCAAGCGAACATGGCAATGGATATCATCGTTATAAGCGCATGCAGTATGAAAATATATAGTCAACCAGTAAGAGCTGAGTGATCCGTGTCATCAGCTACACCTTCGGTAAACCGGCTAGCATGCGCTCCAAATATAACATGTGTCATCAGCAACACCTTCAGTTTTTTTAGATATTTATGAAAAAATTTATGTATTAAATTTACATATTGATAAATACTTATATGTATTAAAATATTTATCTACATTTTATTGAATTTTTATCATAAAAAGAAGTTCTAAAATAATCATAACTTAAACTTTGGTACCATATAAAAATATAATCTATCTCATCGAGATCTACAACTTTAATTGGGGTTATTTCTCTACCTAAGTTCGTTCGAACAATTTAAAATTTTTGAATTTCAAAATATGAGAACTTCAAATAGAATTTTAGGACCGTAAATAATTTTAAATGAAACAATCAACTATAAAGTCGTAGATCTACAAGTTTAGTTTTGGTCATTTCTCCATCCAAGTTTGTTTGAATAAATTAAAAAACCACCAAAATATGATAACTTCAAAAAAGAATTTTGGGACCGTAATGATTTTAAATGAAAAAGGCATCACCAACAAAGTTTTATATCTCATCGATATATACAAGTTTGGTTTTGTTCACTCCATCCAAGTTTGTTCAAACGATTCGAAAATTTTGAATTTCAAAATATGATTGATTTTAAATGAAGTAGACGTCAACTACAAAGTTGTATACCACATCGAGATTTACAAGTTTGGTTTTGGTCATGTCTCCATCCAAGCTTGTTCGAATAATTTAAAAAATAAATTTCAAAATATAAGAACTTCAAACGGATTTTGGATCGTAAATGATTTCAAATGAAGAAGACCTCAATTACAAAGTTGTATATCTCATTAAGATCTACTACTTTTGTTTTGGTCATTTCTTCATCCAATTCATTCGAATAATTCAAAAAAATCAAAATATAAGAACTTCAAACATATAGATTATATTTTAAATAAATTCATATTCATATTTAGAACAAAAAATCCAATATATAAAAATCCAAAAAATGTAGATAAATATAAGTAAATTTAAATATATTTTTTCATAAATATCTCAAAAACTAAAGTACTTGATTAAGTCCAATTTTGGCCATTCAACTCTGGCCTTTGTCTAACTTTAGCACCTCGGGTACCAGAACCGTAGGTGTTTTTAGTGGTTTTGAGATGGCTTTGGGGTCAAAATCAAACACTTTTGATAGTTGAGGTGCTAAAGTTCGGTGGCTTTTATAGTTGGGGGTCAAAATTAGATAAATACAAGAGTTAATGGGCCAAAAATAGACTTAATCTATTTTTTTGAGAGTTGCGGACGTGTAATGCATCTTAATTATGTGATATCATAATGTGTGCTATCATAATATGTGTTTGGCATGGCTCCTCGCTCAGCAGCTCATCCACTGGAAACGAAGGGAGGAGCCTCAAATTGTATCTCCTCCATACACTAAAAACGGTCCCAACTTCTCTTTCATACCACAAAAATGGCTCCTCTTCGGACTTTTGGTAGGGCTCCTCTATCGAAGCTGTTGTCAGAGCCACACCAAATATGGCCATATTGTCTCTAGACATCCATGACAACTCATCTTTCATCAAAGTTATCATCTTGTGACCTCTCAAAGAGTTCACCACCTTCAAATTCCACATTTCCACCATTGTTAGCTATAATGCCAGACTTCAAACTAACCCACCGTGAAAGAGGGTCTACTATGCTAGCACAAACAAAAATTATTACTGCCGCTAACCAGGAAGATCATATTATTATTATCGTTGGAGGCACATTACAATAGAGGAAGAACACCTCTACAATATCCACAAATTCATACAATACAAAGAATGTCGTGCATCGATATGCTAGTACTGCACAACTGGCTAGGGTTCCATGGGTCACTTCCAAGTTATGAAGGAGCACCAAGTAAATGACAAATTGCATTTCTTTAAATATCTTGGTAGTTTCTCTTTATTTCATGAATATTTTACATTTCATCATTTGTACCTTTTATATTTACTCGTTAGTAGCGTAAACTATTTAATATACGTAATTTTTTTTTGGACTATACCTGTTTTCCTTTTCTAGAAAAACAGAATATCCAACTGAGTCCTAGCTCCGCCATAGCTTTTCTACGTACTACCTCGGTCAAATGATTTAAAATTTGACCAAAGTTATATATATATAACACTAATGTTTATAGTACAAAATAAGTACCATTTAATTAATTATGAAATATATTTTTGTAGCAAACCTAGTTGGAGACATAAATGCTAACATCGTTGATTATAAACTTGGTCAAAGTTAAGCTAATTTGATCGGCACAAATCTCATTGTTGTATCCTTTTGTGAATAGAGGGAGTGTCGTCGTAGTACATAGATGCTTAATTCCAATATAACGTTGCCACGATAATAACGCTTGCAACTTTAACCCTCATCGATGTAGCCATGATAATCACATTTTACAACCTTTTCTCTTTTAGCCCAGAGGGTGCGCGGTCACTAAAATTAGAAGTTGTTCGAATGGCCACGTCCGAGCGTGGCACCAGACCATGGCTGTTCCTAGTAGTGGGAGTAGAGACAAAAGTGCCCTGTAAAACAAAGTTGTTAGGGACTTCAGGTGGAGAGGGGCCGTTGGGCAGTGGCGACGACGCGACAAAAGACCGCGATTTGGACGCCGGTGTGGTGTAAAGATGGCAACGGGTACAGAATACCCGCAAACCCGCGGGCAACAAACCCGACGGGCGTGGATACGGGCGCCAAACTGTGCCCACGGGCATGGGTGCGGGCACAGCTGTCAACCCGATGGATATTTGATAACGGGCAAAGAAATAACCTACCGCACCAAGAACTCGACAGACCGCCCGATCGATCACCGACAAGTGGACCACCACTCAGCCACTCTCCTCCCTAAGACCCTAACACCACACCGCACCTCCTCCTCTCTCTCAACCTGCTCTCTCCTCATTGGCTCAAGAGCTCGTCCTCACGTTCTTTGCCAAGAGGCAAGAACACGTAAACATCCCTCTTCTTCCTCTCAAATCCCACCTCCAAATCCAGAATCAAGTTATGCATGTCACACCACTGCGTTCTCCATCTCGAGAGCTTTCCATTCTCCTATGGGGCTCTCTCTAGCGTGGAGCACCAAGGAGATCGAAGAAGGTCGCCTCCATGGCCACTGCCCGCTCTAGGCTGGGGCTCGAGTAGCCTCGCCCTCTCCCTCCCTCACCGCCTCCCTCATCGCTCCCCGTCCTCCTCACCCGCCGTGCACTCCTCATCCTTCCTCGCCGGTGGTCCTCCTCCCTCCCCTCGTTCCTCCTCCCCATCGGCGCCTCCCTTCTCCTCCCACCGTGGTCCTCCCTCACCTCCTCCTCCCCCCAGTCCTCCTCACCCACCGTGGTCCTCTAAGCTTCTAGGGCTCTGGATCTGAGTAAAGTTTAATCTGGAGGCCGGGTGCCAGGAGCTCATGGATGAAGCTTCGTCGCACCATCTCCTCGCGCCCTCTCTCGTGCCCTCTCGCATCTTTGCGCTCGGCATGGCGCAGAGCGACATGGCGGGAGTGGCGTGCGGTCGCAGAATGGCGCGTCGACGAAGCTCGCCAGAGCTCGTGGCGCAAGCAAAGGAAGGCCGTCTGCCCACACGTCTCCCGACAACGATCGCTGGAGTGCCGGGTTCCACAGCCACCATCTCCGCTTCCCACGACCGGCCCGCCGCTACTGGATGCCATCTCCGCCTGCAGCCACCATTGTCTTCCCCATCCGGCGGACGCGGCATGCACGAACCTGCCATGGATAGCGGCACGGGCACAAGTTGTTTGCCGTGGCGGGTGGCGGCACCGCACAAGATTTTGCCCGTGGGCGCGGCGCGGGTGATCCGCGACTTTTAGTGGTGACGCGCACATGCCGGATGTTGTTGTTTCTCGGCGGCCACGACGCGGATTTGACGGGGACGGAGGGGAATATCTCCTATGAACTCCAACCGGCGGAGGAGCTTGATGATTATCGAAGTGCCACTAGGCCCGCCCATCAATGCGCATGGAGCGGTGGCATAAATGATCATTGGATCTGTTTCCATATCTGTCATATACTGAGATACTAATTTCTTTGATATATGACTGATGACGCCGTTCTCAAACGTACATATTTCTCAATGCAAAAGATAATAGGGCTTGTTGAAGTAAAAAAAAATAAGGTGCGAATTATTAATGTATCAGTATCACTCCTGTGCCTGGGAAAGATTAAAATCTACAGCTACAGCTCGATACGTGTGAGCGTAGGATAAGAAGTGAATGGAAGGACCACACTGTTTTATACTACCATTGCTACTGTGCAACGTATCCGGTCACACAGGCAGTGTGTGTTTCAAACTTGGGTTATATTTTATTTTATCTCTAGTACGATTGTCCAGTTCTCACCTTCAGATAATGGCTTTGTTTACTGGTCATCAACAAGCGACGTGCGGCGCATCTGCTGCGAGGGTCTGGATTCTCCAACGACTACTTTTTGATCGAGTAATAATTTACAGTAAAACTTATATGAAACAACATTCCAGGTCAAATATAGTTGTATTACAGATACGACAAAAGTCAGATCAAATATAGTTGTATTTCAGGACAGCTCAAAACGTGTGGGGTATTGGCTAAACAGGACAGTTCAAAACGTGCGTTTGTTTATATCAGAGAGCCTTTGCATCCAAAGTCGGTCGACAAAAGAGTAGGAGGCACCAAATACTTTACACCGCACCGCATTGCCTCTGGAAAAAAAATTGTCTGCACATGTGACCATAGATTCCAAAAAGATTGCGACCTTCAGGATCTGAGTAGCCATCGTTGAGAAAAACTGCAGTATCTCAGTCGATCAACCACCATGCCATTGTGACGCCAACAAACCAGACCAAAAAGAGTCGACATCATAACCTGAGCGGCTGTCATCAACATAGTACGCACATTGTCATTGTATAGCCCACCTAAAAAGAAACACACTGACAGCTCTAGATTCAAGAATACAGGATGGAAAACCATGTCAGCAGAAAAATACATCACCAACAGATGGGGGCATAGGTGTCGTGTGGCAACCATAATTAAACATCATTTGGAATCCGAAACACAAACTGTATGACATTTTCCAAATCCTCATTCAGAGGATGCAAACATTGAAAAGCTAATATGTAGATTATTGAACTACTAACATAACCCTTAAGTAGAAACAGCATCACAAAGCTTGAGCCTCCCTGAATCGGTTCATGCCATCAGTATTCAGTGGGCGCGAGCCGAAGGTGAAGAAGATAACTGACAGCTCACGAACAGGCGCGTATCACATTTCATGTGTAGAGGTTGCAGACACTAAAAGGTACCACTAAGTCCCTCTTACCAGCAGCAGGGCCCTGAAACAAGCTAAGGTGTGAAGTTACATCTTATTCTTGCAATAACTGTCAGCAAGGAAGTGCATTATTTATTACTCTTACTCCTAGTACAGCATCAAAAGCCAGGTTCGGGTCAACTTTGACATGTACCAAGTATGTCATACCGATAGTTACTTTTTCCTGAATGATAAAATCTGTGCAAGGTGAAGCAATGAGATCCCCCTCCAACAATGGTGTGTGGAGCCCCACAAGGCGGAAGATTCACCATGCAGGTGCCTTTGACTTCTCCACAAGAATTATTCTTCCATTCCACTCAGTCTCATCACAAGCACGGATTGCTGCATCGGCATCCTCATCCTTCTCCAAGGATAAGAATCCAAAGCCACGGGAATCTCCAGTTCTATAAAGAATGGAAACAGTACTGAGTAAGTTCATTCTATCGAAGTGATGTATCTGAGTACAACGTCAACATGATGGGTTCAAAAAAGTTACAGCATGCTGGGAACTCATTGGATAAGGTAGGGGGAAACAGTGAAATTCCCTGACACAATGCTGAAAGTATACCAAAGCTCTAGAAAATGCAGTAGCAGCTTTCTTATAGTTAATCTGTACGGAGTATAAGCCAGGCAAACTCCTATGACTGATTGCTTCAGGTTTGTTACTGATTTGACAGGATAAATTTAGCTAATCAAGGTTTTGCAGTGCAATGATAAGCAGTTTGAAAATTTCCCATTTGCCAGGCCAACTCCACTTTTCATTTTAATTGCTTTGAGTTATGTATAACAAGGCTATTCAGTTGCAATTTGCTCTGACGTATTGACTTAAAAGCCCAGTACTTTGTATGATTTGACCAAAAAAGAAGAAGCCGTGGTTTCTTTTAAGTTATACTTTCAGCCAAGAAAAAGGATTTTCCCATCAAGATTCTGTTATTTAGGAGTCAACATGGCAAACTTAGGTGCAATGAAGTATAGACATCAGCTTGCCTACCAAAATGTACGAGCATCTTATTCTAGACTTATTAGAAGAATGTAGTTTAAATAACTACGCTATTTAATAGATTAATTCTGCAACAGCTTCACAAATCAACCAAAAAGCATTCTATTCAAATTTGCAAAAGCATAAAAAATCATAACTGTTTAAAGAAAAACTCATAAACAAAAGATGAGCATGAGTTGCACAAAGGTCTCGTCCAATGATGACACTGCACTATGAAAGTAAGTATACTAAAAGTGCTCAAACCAGAAGAGTATTGCAAAAAAGATCGTTGACAACATTACCAAAGGAAGCTGGGAGATACAAATTTAACATAATATGGAAGTAATTACCGTTTATCGCGAACAACACGTGCACTTGTTACACGTCCAAACTTGCCAAATTTCTTCTCCAAATCTCGCTCAGTGGTGGCATAGCTAAATCCTGCAATAAAGAGATTCTTTCCAGGCTTACCCAATCCAGTCTTCCTGTTGGCAGGTGGTGACCAATGTCTTCTTGGTGAACGATGGCGATGACTGGTTGGGGGTGATCTGCGCCTTGGTGAATGCCTTCTACAATACAAAAATAAATAGAAGAGAATAAAATAGCAGGCAGAAAAAATGATGATGCAGACGCCAAATAAATAGTCCTACAATAGAAGTATACATGATACAAAAACGACCTATTCAAGGATGCATGTCCAGACAGTATCTAATCATAAATCCAGTATGTTCAAAAACATGAACCTGGCACGATCATTTAAAGGAATTCATAATTTCAGCAGCCTTACTGCCTTATAGTTACTAATGGCAAGGAATCACCTTGGAGATCGCCTGTGATGATCCCTTGAGTGGGGAGACCTGGACCGAGATCTATCGTGTTCTTTTCTATGTCTAGAGGTATCATGTTTTCTTGAAGGTGACCTTGATTTTGACCTATCCCTCCTCCTTGGGGAGTCCCTCCTCTTTGGTGAATCTCTCCTCCTTGGTGAGTCTCTCCTCCTTGGTGAGTCTCTCCTCCTTGGTGAATCTCTCTTCCTTGGTGACTCCCTCCTCCTAGGTGAGTGCCTCCTCCTAGGTGAGTCTCCCCTTCTTGGTGATTCCCTCCTCTTGTGTGAGGATCTTCGAGGGGATATAGATCTTCTTCGAGGGGGTGTAGATCTTCTTCGGGGAGATGCAGATCTTTGTCGAGGCGACCCATCACCATGTCGAGACTCTCTCCGTCTTTTCCTTTCTACAGGAGAACTATGTCGCGCATGTGGAGACAACTCCCTTGAAGAGGCTCTTTTGCGGCTGGGGTCATGTTTTTCAGAAGATCGGGACCGATGTCTTACCGGTGGGCTTTCAGAATGAGCTATCTCACCAACATCTTTGGCACGATATTGTGACTCCATCTTCTCAGAATGATGGGAATGTGAACTTTCAACTGGAGGAGATATCCTCCCGTCTGGAGATGGGGTATCCCTTTCCAGTCTTGCAAACCTTTCAGGGGATACTCTCCCATCTGGAGATGGTGTGTCCCTTTCCAGTCTTGCAAACCTGTCCGGAGGAGAATCAAATTGATTGTCTGGAGTTGAACTTCCATTTCTAGTACCAGGATTTTTCAGCTCTGTCTGTTCCCAAGAGGGAGGTACAGCTGAAGTGTTAAACTTCTCATTGTCTCGACCATTAATGGGGCAAGGTTTCCTACCATTCATTTGATCATCCTCTGACCCACTGTTTTCATTGTGAGAAGTCTCATGTAACTTTTCCATCTCCTCATTTTCCATCTGAAGCGCAGGAGAGTTTGGAATATCATCAGCAGGAGCACCACTATTGTTAAGCTGGTAACCCTTACTACTATTTTCAGTTAACAAAGAGTCACCATGGTAGGAATCAGAATATGTAGCTTCTGGTTGAAAGTTTGATATATCATTACCACTGCTTTCAAGAAGCTTTGGAGGCAAAACTGCACCAATCAGTTCTGTGTTGTGATGTTCATCACAGCCCAGAGAAGTGATCTGTTCTTCAGAGTTACTATTGTGAACATTTTGTTCAGCTGCATCATTCTGTACATCAGATTCTATATTAAGAGGTTCTTGAGGTTGTTTCATCGAAGATTCTGGACTAGCTGAAGCAGATTTCATAACATTGCAAGTGATTTGATCATTCATGAAGGGCGGAGAATCTGTAGATAAATACGGAATTGCATCAGCTGGATCAACCAAAAGTCCATGATCCAGTGTTGGAGACTCATGTTGTGGAATTCCTCCTCCTTGATAACCCAAGTGGTCCAACAGGCTGCCACCTTGGTCTCCAAATAATGGCCCAGGATCTCCACAAGTCCCCTCCAGATTTCTCTCAGGGGATATGTACTCCATCTGAATGAGCAAATTTGAATAGCATAAGTACATAGCTTGCTCAATATAGCTATACAGGTCCAAATAACACATTACACCCTAATTTCGAACGGAAAAAAATAGATACAAAGTAACATGACTGAAGCAGCTAAATTATCACCTTCTTGGTATGATGCATGCAGGATTACCTCATAGGAAATAATATGAACAACAGGCCTCTTTGCATTTCAAAGTGCTGATTTGCATTTGCATTAAGACCGTATTGCTCCACAAGTGTGTCAACAAAAGAATACTACAGTGGAAAGTCAGACTTGACTAACTCAGGTCAGGTGTGGCAAAGTGTGTTCGGTGAACCAAAAATAGCAACAATCATGACTCAATCTTAGGACTAAGTTTCATAAATGGCAATACAGGGTAGATATTCCAATTCTAAAGCCATGTTAGTTCTACAATCAGAACAATACAAATCCAACAATGATGCCTAAAATAAAAAAAAGGTTTGTTTCGTTTGTGCCCACTGCCCAGCCAGCCTTGGTGCGATATGTCTAGCCAACAGAATTTAGCAATTATCAGATGCCATCCAAAATTTTGCCAGCCAAATTTTGGTAACGCATATTAGGCCACAAACCAACTAGCCTTCCACTGATTCTCACAGTGATTATAATAAAATTCTACAGATTATAAAGGGTCAAATACACATGCACAATAAAAAAACATTCACAAAATTCCACGAGTCAAGTTCTGACTTCAATAGTTGTAAGACTATAGTTCCACTTCCAAGTCATCAAGTTTATTTGAAGAGAAACAACATAAAACGCTATATAAAAACCATTTTGGACACTCTGGACATACATGGTAACAGGTAGATTTATGGTGATTTTCCAGCTATTATTTGAGAAAGTCAACATCTATCGTAAAATCCCAGAACATTAATACCGTTCCCACGCTTCGACATGACAATGCCTATGGAGTAGCCCCTAGCATCTTCCCAGAAACAGCACCAGAACAAAAAATCAACTGCGCAGAGTACCAGAGATTTCAGTGAGCTATTTTGGAACACCAGCAGCGCCAAATCGGTAAAAATTCGAACCCGGTTCCTTACGCAGATCATCACTCCCCTCAGTGACACACATGAACCAAGCGCAACAATGAGACCCGATCGCAACAATTTTCCACGGCCGCAACCACACAACAGACCAACCATGGCGTCTGATCCGAGTGACAAACAATCCAGCGCGAAATCCGCACAACCCGGATCGAACCAGCTACCGCATCTAGGGGGGCCCCATCCGCGGATCCGAAACCCAATTCCCAGCGAGCAAGCGAGGTCGGTCGTGGAGAAGCGGAGCGCTCACCTCGGACAGCCCCGGCGCGCGCCACCTCCACCGGCCGCTGCTCCTCCAGCCCCCGCGATCCCTCTCGCGCCTCCCCCGCGCGAGGTTTTCTTCTGCCCCCCTCTCCTCTTCGTTAGGAGAGAGAGAGACGGGTTGAGATTTTTGGGGAGGCCGTACGAAACGGAGGGCTCGTGGTGTGGTGGCCTGGTGGGGCAGTATGGCTGGCCTGGAGGAAATACACCGAGTGAGGTGATATGAGCGGGGTGGGCCCCAACCCAGGTTCCTCGGGGCCCACCGGGCAGCGGGTCGTGTAGGAAGCCGGTGACCGGTGGGTGACCAACTGCGCGGTGACTGTTTGTAACCATCGTTCCAACTTGCAAGGGGGGAAGCGTGCTGCACCGGGCACCTACCTGCACGTGGCGTTGTTCTGGGCCGGGGAAGCAAGACTTCCATGGGCCAGCAGGGCCCAGCGGATCTCGGGCAGGAGGCCTGCGAGGGCCCATCCTCCGTCAGTCCGTCTCGTCGGCGGTGAGTGAAAGTCAAAGTCAAAGGGCGTGTTTGGTTCTAACATAAAGTTCAGTGACCCCAGAAGTTTAGTTACCCCGATTTAGTTACAGTGGTTAAATGTCACTAAATCAGTTATTTCATGTATGTTTTAGTCACTTTTAGCTACCTTCTCATGACTAAAAGCCACTAAATTTTAATGATCCCTATACTGTAGTCGGGTATTTGATATTTTAGTGACTAAAAATAATTAAAGTTTTAATCACTGAACTTTAGGAAGTTGAACCGAACAGGCCAAATCCAAGAGGCTCTGCTCTGCAGCTGCGAGTTTGTTTTTGCTTTTGGAATAGAAAATGACGAGAGCACGCCGTGATGAGCTGCGTCCGGCCGCGGCTGCGGACGGAGCCAGATGCGGTCAGGGTCATTCTCTCCTTAAGCTCTCCTCCCCACCGTGCTACGACCAGCCTTTCCGCTCTTGCACACCGCACGCGCCGGTCCAGGCCTCGCCGTCTCGCTGCTTCGCCGGTGGCTAGTAAGTTCTTCCAGACCAGACCACCCCAGGCTCCCCCTCGGTGTTTGGAATAACCTCAGTTCCTGATAGGTCCCAACCATAGCTGCCATCAGCTTTATGATCTTTCTCCTGCCTTTCTCGGCATCTGTTTCGCTGGGAAGAGTTTAGTAGCCTGAAAGCAATTTCAGAGTGCCGTGGCATGTTTTCAGAAGTACAAATCTGGATGTAATTGCAAACTGCTGCATAATATGTTTTTATAAGATTAATCAATGGAAGTTATAGTCTAGAACCTTTGATGCTTGTAATTTCCATTACAGAACCTTTCATCTGCATGAGGTGGATTGTAGTCTGCATATATGAGCTCACTACAACTAGTATTATCCAAGTAGCACTGAATCTTAATGGTTTGTGATGTATGCTGCAGATAGCGATGCCCACCACCATCTGCAGTTTGAGCAAGCAACATAAATGGAAGATAGCAGCCTCTGTGATGCTGTTCTCCGTGCTCCTTATAGCATTTGATTCGCCATTCAGGGCCTTTTTCAGCAAGTACCTCAGTTCCATTGTACCACCATCGGGATCATCACATGACAGTGACACTACATTAACCCAGGAGTAAGACTGAAGTGGCGTCAGTTTGTAGCCTTAGGAGGGATTAAGTAGTACTATTAAGATCAAATTTTGCTACCTTGAAACAGGAATCGAAATTTATCCTTGGAGCATGCCACTAACCTGAGTAACAGCAAGGAAGGGAAACAGATCGAACACGGCATGTACAACATGAACACCAGTTCGACAAATGCAACTTCCAGTTGGAGCATTGTGAAGGAGGAGTTCACATTTCAAGCAGCTGGCCGCCCTTTCAATAATTGTCATGCTTCCACCATTGTAGAGGTATGTCCTTTTCTTTAAGGAAAAAGCTAATTTCAGGAAAGATGACTGTAATTTCTTATATGTGACTGTTATTGTAGATTGAGAAAGACAATTTTTTGGTCTCATATTTCGGTGGATCCATAGAGGGGGCTCCTGATGTCAAAATCTGGACACAGAGATACAGTGTAGGTTCACGACTCCAAGCAATGAACAGTGCTTGAATCTTGATCCTCGTTACTAGTTGTTAACACTTCATTTTTCTCTAGGATGGCTACTGGCATCCTCCAGTAGTAGCTGATGAAGAAAATGCGACGGCAATGTGGAATCCTGTTTTATTTCAGCTCCCCTCTCGTGAGTTGCTTCTCTTCTACAAGATTGGTGAACACCCTCAAAAGTAAGAACTTCATGTGTTCTGTCCCTCAAGCGTTTCAAAACATTTTTAAAAATGAACAGAAAATATTTTGAGGAACAGGAAATACAACAAAAGGTTGTGATGATATATGCTATGATCTAATTCTAGACATAACTTGTTCAGCTGGAGTGGTGCCATGAAAAGATCTCTCAATGGTGGCATGTCCTGGTTAGAGAGAGAGCAATTACCACCTGGTATTCTTGGCCCTATTAAGAATAAGGTATGTATAAACTTGTCATCGCCTGTCCCTAAAATAAGATCACAATGTACTCCATCTGCTTCCAAATGCAAATCATTTTAGAGTTGTGATCGGTCAAACCTCTTTATCTTGGCCCATCAATATAGTTGATGTTACTAGATTCACAACATATATAACTTTCTCTATTTAAAATAGCATATACTTTAAAAAAAAAGGCAATTCAAAGTGTCATATTGAAGACTGTGTCAATGTCCTAAATGACTTACATGGAATCAAAGAGAGTACTCCATCCGAATTTGAATATGGCATATCAGGACAACTTAATTAGTTCGTTTATTTAAAACTGAAGGGACTATTAACTATTAAGTAGTCACAGACTTTGGGATTGGATTCTGCTTGTACAAATTGAGGATCGCATAAGTAAAGCTAGCTTTTAAGTTGAGGAAGGCTACTATTTCATATCTGACAAGAAACCCATTGTCAGAGAAACAGCACTCCAGTTTATAACCATTTTATTAAGTTAATATTCTATGCATCCTACAAGTTATTGATTAAATTGTTATCTGTGCAGCCCTTTTTGCTTGATGATGGGCGCTTACTATGTGGGTCATCTGTTGAAAGTTGGAGCTCTTGGGGTGCATGGCTTGAGGTAGCAACAGAATGTATTAAAAGGGTGAAAAGTAGTATTTTCTTGTTAGATCATGTATAATGGTCCAAAGTTTGTCTGAACAATGTAGGTAACAGAAGATGCTGGTCGGACATGGAGCAAATATGGTCCTATATTCGTCCAAGGCGAGACACTTGGGGTGATTCAGCCAGTCCCTTACCAGACCACCAACGGGACTATACGTATGTTGCTAAGGTCTTACCAAACAATCGGCCGGGTATGCGTGGCTGATTCCTACGATGGAGGATTAAGATGGACTTTTGCGCGCAAGACTGAGCTTCCAAACCCTAATTCCGGTATGCCAACTTCAAGTAACAGCGGGTTTGCTACAGTAGCAGTGGTTTTGAATTTCATTTTTTTATTTATTTTCGGTGAATTTTTGAAAAATTGTAGTAAATCATAGAAAAATCATAAAATGAAAAATCTTATTTTATTGGACTCCACATGAGTAGATCTACACAGTGAATATATAATACGGTATGCTTTAGTACAATTTTTTTTTTAGCTTTAGATTAATTGGAAAATCCAATTTTGTCTGTAATTAATTAGAATTTATCTATAACTAAGTTATACATAGTCCAATGAGTACGAAATTTTTACTATAGTTCAAGCATACAATAATTAGCGTACCATAAAAATTTCACCACAATTGGACCATAGAAGCTGCAGCTATGAATTATTCCAATTAATTATAGACAAAATTAGATTTTCCAATTAATCTAAGGCTACAGTAAAAATTTTGTACTAAAGCATATCGTATTATATATTCACTATGTAGATCTACTCATGTGGAGTCCAACAAAATTAGATTTTTCATTTTATGATTTTTCTATGATTTACTATGATTTTTCAAAAATTCACCGAAAATAAATTAAAAAAAAAAAAGAAAATTCAAAACCACTGTTACTGTAGCCCCCCAGGGGTAAAATAGGCGGTTTTAGAAAGTTCACGGGGTAAGACAGACGGTTTCATAGTTGGGGGGTGAAGTAGACCAAGTATGAAAGGTGGGGGGTTAAGTAGAATTTTTTCATTTCCGGAATGTTTCATATATATACACTCCGCATTTATATTTGAACAATGTTTAATATGACAAACTCCACAATGGAAGGGATCGATGGAATCAAGATGAAGGATGGAAGAGTGGCACTCGCCTACAACACCGTCTCCAGAGGCACACTCAAAGTGGCCGTCTCCACGGATGACGGCCTCTCATGGCAAGAGGTGGTGACGCTGGAGAACACGGAAGGCTGGGAGTTCTCGTATCCTGCAGTGATCCAGACCATGGACGAGCTCGTGCATGTCACCTACACATACAACCGGACGCAGATCAAGGTAGCTTTGCTTGTTCCCCATTTCGATGAGCAACTGCATGCTTTTGGTTTAGCCATTGCCTTGTTTTGGGGCCTGCCTCAAAGCCTTGCAATTTTGCAGCACGTGGTTCTTCAGCCCAGTTGAATAGGGTCTTGAACTTGCAGCTGGACCTGGACGGCTGGACTGCTGGAACCTGGAGGATTCACAAGTGTGTAATATGTGTCCGCTTCTGCTCCTGTAGTAGCCTCAGCTTGTAAAGCAGCGTGCTTATTAACGGTTTTGTATCTTCCTGTTACCGATAATGTCAAACGAAACTAATACACTATACAGTGTGCTTGTGTGAACTTACCACTTTGTCATCTTATTTAGTTACGATAATGCTTCCAGCAGGCGTCCGTTCGGACGCCGCGTGCCACACTCTGCCTCGCCGCTTCCGTCCGCGTTGTAAGCTCCCGTCTGCGATGCGCGCCACGCCCGCGACACTTGCTCCATCCCGTCGTCACTCGCCCCACACGGCCCGCCCGCCGTGGCCATCCCTCGTCGTGCCCCCATCCTGTGTGCATCATCTGCTCTTCCCATCTCTCGCTCTCTATCTCGCGTCCGCTGACAGCAGAGCGCCTCCCCAACCCCCAAGGTCACCGGGATGCCTCGCCGCAGCCGCCCCTGTCGATGACCGCTAGGCACATGTGCTGGGGCGCCTTGGGTCATCCCCGGCCGAGCCAAGGGCACCCACAAGCGCAGTCGGATGCTAGTAGTTCTCGTGCGCCGCCGGCTCCCACCCCGATGGTCGGAATTGACCGGCCCAGGCCTCCACTCCCCTGTGTTGAAAATGTATGTTTGAAGTGTTTAAGACGTTTTAGAGGTATGTTGCAATGGTTTCATATAGATGTTGCAAAAGTAGATCGAGGATGTTACACATGTTGCATATGTTGTAAGTGTTTCAAAAGCATATTGCAAGCGTTTTGTTGAAAATGTTTCATCTATTCCAGACGTATGTTGCAAGCGTTTTGATCTGGATGTTAAATATTTCGTCTGTTCCAGACGTATGTTGCAAGTGTTTTGATCTCGTTGTTGCATATGTTACACACATGTTGTAATAGTATGTTCCAAATATTTCATATGTTTTGGTCTTATATTGTAGCAAGTGTTTTCATGTTGCAAGTTGCAAGTGTGTTTATCTTGATGTTGCATATGTTTTCACACATACGTTGCAAGTTTATGTTCTAGATGTTTCAGCTGTTTCAAACGAGTCGGGGCTTGGGGAGTGATGGTGGCATGGCACGAGCATCGGAATGGGACGCGGCGAGCCAAGGCCAGCGGACGTAGCGCGCGGCGCGCGCTTAAAGTTTAATCACATGAACCAGCTCCTAAACTCAGCTCCAGCAGGACTCCTACTTAAGCTCCCATAGCTAAATATAGGTGCCTAAGCAAAAAAACGCAGCTCCAGCAGGACCCCCTACTAGAGTCCCCAATTTGGTGTAGGCACCCAAATCCACCCTCCAGACCCCATTCCTGTGGGAGAATGGGGGCTCACCCCTCGGCCCCCATTCGCCTTGCGTCAGTCTTTTTCCCCCGCCCGCACACGGAACCTCGCGACTGCCTGGAGGCGCGGCCCCTTCTCTCCCTCCGACGCGCCCTTTTTCCTCCCTCCGCCGGGCCATCCCCTCCCTTAGGCAGCCACCCATGGGCGCGATGGAGCAGATCGCGCGCGTGCGGTGGCCAGATCGAGCCGTCCGCGGCGCGGATCAGGCAGGCGGTGCTCGAAACGCACCTCGTGCCGTGACCGATGAGAGGAGCATGAGGAGGCGGGCGACGAGCGCTCGGTCCCTCCCTCCGGTCGCGCGGGACTGCCTCTACTCCACCATGCGGGCTCGGCCGTCCATCCCTCCGGTCGCACAAGCTCGGTCTCGCGTGGGTAGCACGTCGTGGTCTATGTGTGGAGGATTTCAGGGGAAGAAGAAAGATTTGACCCAATGACAAGTGGGTCTCCCATGTCATTGTCTACTGATATGGATTTGGGGCTACTGCTAGAGTGGAAGCACAAATTTGGGGCAATAAAAATGGGGGTGGGCACCCAAATAAAATAGGGGGCCTGATTTGGCGGCTACTGCTAGAGTTGCTCTTAGCCACCCATGTTTGGTTTTTTGGACTAAAAGAGGTCTTTTAGTCCTTTTTAGTCAGGGTGTTTGGCTTCAAAGTGACTAAAACGTGCGGCAGCCTGACTAAAAAGGTAATGTTTAGTCCCCTTTAGCAACATTTGAGTGACTAGTTGGTTAAAGCCCATTTAATTCAATTTAGTCAAAGTGTTTAGATAAAAATGACTAAATGAGACTAGATTTAGGAGGTGAAGAGGAAATCAAACACCCCCTTACATAGAAATCTCTACAGACAAGGGCGGATCTAAAGGGGGTCGGGGGGCTCCCCCTATAGCTGGTGCACCAATGGAAATATGGAGAGGGTGAGGGAGAAGAAGAAGAGGTGGAAGAAAGAAGGAAAATAGAGAGAGAAGAAGAAGAAGAGACCAGCCTCTCCTTCAATCCTGTTCTACATCCGCCACTGTCTACGGCCAACATCTGAACTACACCGTACAAATATGAGTTTTAAATACTTGGACGCATGCAATTTCGGTGAGGGGATGGATAGATTGCTGGCCTGCTTGGTTGAGTTCTAAAATTTGCCTTGCCAAAAATTTGGTAAGGCAAAAGTTAAGAAAAAAAAATTATCATAGATTTGGCAAGTCAAATATGAGAATTTGATAAGTTTTGATAACAAACCAAATACTAGCTAAAACTATAGCTTGCTAAATCTTTGACACGGCAAACTTTAGAAAACGAACCAATCAGGCCCTACATTTGAACGAACTGTTTCATCTTAGCCTAGCCCAGGGGCAGTTTCAGGCCCTGTTTGTTTCCGCTTCTTTCAGCCACGCTTGGATTATAATCTAAGCGAAGATTTTCTCGCTTCTCGTAGTTCAAATCTCTGAAGCGGCTTACCATATAAGCGAGAATCGATGGAAATAAGCAAAGCGTTTGACGGGATTCTCGTTTATTTCCACCGATAAGCCGCTTATAAGCGGAAACAAACAGGGCCAAGCAACAGACGAGGCCTAACTCTTACTGCGAACCAGTACTGTACTTCGTACTCTGGAAGTGCCTCTCGAAAGCGGAATATGACCTCACAGGGCCGCAGAGCTCCCATTGTGATCCAAGAGGTCCGTTCAATTTAGCAAAACCTCTGGCAAACAATTTTTTAAAGAGAAATGATTTGTGATATACTCTAAAGAGAAGTGATTGTGTACCGATTTTAGAAAGTGATTCTCTAAATTGAACTGAAGAGGCCGAGAATAAAGAAAAAGTAGCTTTTTTTGTTCTGTGAAGTAATCTTTAATGTGATTTTAAAATTTTAGGGCCTGTTTGGTTCTAAACTCCTAAAACTTTAGCTCCTAAAAGTTTTAGACAGCCTTCTAAAATCTCCTAAAAATGTGTTTGGTTCTACCTTCTAAAACTGCCTAAAAGCAATAAATGCATTAACAAAAAGACCATGCAGCCCTCCTCCTTACCCCTCCTCTGCATGCACCTGGTATGCATGGCACCCCCTGGTCACCTCCTTCTATTGCTGGCGTGCCACCTCCTCTTGCTGGTGCCGATTTTTTTTTTGCTGGCGGCCAAATATGTTTATTCCATTCAATAAAAAAAAGTACATACAAATGTTTATACTCATACAATTGGAAAGAAGTGTCCATAAATCATCCATACAAACAATTCAACACATCAATAAAATCACCATTACAAGTTGACATCTACGATCTACTAAATAACCCATCGGCTATCTAAAGGGTCGAGATGGCGGACTAGAGGGGGGTGAATAGTCCTTTCTAAAATTAATCGCGTCGGCTAACCGGTATAAATACGGAATAAAAACAATCGGTCTAGCCAAGACTACACCCCTCTATATATATGTTCACTAGCACCTTGCAAAGATACTAATTATGCAACTAAGGTGCTGGGCTAGCTAGAGCTCTCCTAAACAATTTTAGGAGCAAGGTCACACAAACCTATGCCACTAGTACTTTAAGCAACAAGGAAGCTCCTACACATGCTAGTAAGCAAAAGCACAAAGCCAACTAAGCTCACTAGCAAAGCTCAATAACAAGGCAACCAATGCCTAATTAGAGAGCGCAAATACTTAGCTACACAAACTAAGCAATGTGACTAACAAGGTTACTAAAACCAAATTAGCCACCCAAGTGAGCTACTTCTATGCTACACAAGCAAGAAGATAATTAGCAAGCTACACAAGCTATCTAATTACAAGAGCAACTACACAAGCTTAATATGTATAAAAGTAATTGCAAGCTTGTGTAATGGGGATGCAAACCAACGGGAAGAACAAGGTTGACACGATGATTTTTCTCCCGAGGTTCACGTGTTTGCCAACACGCTTAGTCCCCGCTTGTGTCGACCGCTCACTTGGTGGTTCGGCTAATTAGCATCACCCGCTAAGCCCGCACGTCGGGCTCATGAGAACCTACCCCTTGAGTGAGGGTAGCTCAATGACATGTTTTACTAGAGTTGCTTTTCATGGCTCCCGTGGCGGCAGCACAATGCCCCTCACAAGCACTTCTCCGGAGCGCCGCACAAGCTTCTTGCGCGCTTGACGGAGACCACCACTGCCGTCTAGGAGGTGGCAACCTCCAAGAATAACAAGCACCACCGGCTCGCAACTCGTTCACCTAGTGCCACTCGATGCAACCTCACGATGCAATCGCACTAGAATCGCTCACTCACACAATCGGATGATCGCTATCAAGTATGTGTGTGATGGAGGGCTTCAAGCACTCACAAGCATGGACACTAAGTCCCTTGAGGTGCTCTACCCAGCCATGGCCGAGGGCCACTTCTATTTATAGCCCCAAGGGCTAAACTAGCCGTTACCCCTTCATCGGGCAGCGGTCGGGCCGACCGGACGCTTCCGGTCGTGTTGACCGGACGCTGGACCTCGCGTCCGTCGCCCGCAGACGGCCACGTGTCCGATTCCAACGGTCACTTGACTTGACCGGACGCGGCGCTTCAACCGACCGGACGCTGAACCCCAGGCGTCCGGTCGTTTCCAAAGAAGGTACCGACCTCGGCCGGACGCGTCCG